CAGACCTGAATCCAATAGAGAACATTTGAAAGATATTAAAGGACTACATTCAAAAAAATGAGAACTTTCCGACGACTTTGGACGAACTTAAGATTGCACTGAAGATGGGATGGGAAAAACTTGATGTGACCATTTTAGAACGGGTTACTGCATCAATGACACGAAGAATTAATGCAATATTGGAGTCAAATGGAGGGCCAATTAAATATTAAAATAAATTTTATTTTTTTTTGGTTTATAAATTGACGTAAATCAAATAAATTGAAAAATGATCTAAATTTTTATTTTTAATTTTGCATCGGACGATACTTTCTGTGGGTACTTGGCACTGAACGTGTATGCAATGATTTCAATAATTGACCAATCAGATTTAATGACCGCTATGCTAGCTGGCAGAGTATCACAAGATGATCACATGTAAACTGTCACTTCGGAAAGAGTGTGGGTTGTCGGGCGTAATTAGGTGCTGATGTAAAAAGTGGCCATTCGATAGCGGATGTGATTGACAGATAAATGATTTACCTAACACTAAAAGCCATTATTTTACTATATATAGATACATGTACATGTATTACGTATTTACTCCGTTACCGACAACCAAACATACCGATACATTTTACCATTCACCTTTTGCTTATTTTTGTCCGGAGTAAAAAATAATTGAAAAATTACGAAAATGGCGGCTACACTTCCTCTCTTATGTATCGAAGCAATAATTGAGAATCTATCAAATAATAATGAACAGCAACAACCGCGACGATTTCAACAATCACATTTTAAGCTACTCTTAATTAATCGGCATTGGTGTCAAAGTATCATGCCGAAACTTTGGATTAAACCGTTCGACGATTGCAGCGCTCGAAACGAACCTAAATTATTTCAAACTGTCGTCAATTGTCTTGATGAAGAAACAAAATTATTACTTGCGCCAGAGTTTTTGAACAAGTCACCGCCAACATTCCAATATCTTTATTTCATCAAATATTTGAACATCATAACATTAATTGAAGTGGCAATTCGCTCTCGAATGCAACGGAATAAAATTGAACTCGCGTATGCAATTTACCGTAAATTACTCAGCAACGACGTCGGTCACACTCTGAATAAGCTCAATATCAATTTCGCGACAGCTTCTCGTTCGCATATACGATGGGACACCGTGAGCAAATTCTCGAATAAAAATTTCGTCCGAGATTGGGATCCTTTTCGTCTTACCAACGGTCGGAAATCCCTCGCGAATCTTTTCAGTCTGACGCTATCCGAGGAATACAGTAATCGTTTCTTACCGGTTGCTGCGAAAGCATGTCCAAATGTGTCGGAAATTTTTATTGAAATTTTTCCCGGGGAAAGTACGTTTATGCAGCCAACCTCTTTGCAACGTATCTACAAGATGTTCTCGTTGCTGGATCTGTTTCCAAAATTATCGAGTTTCTGCTTATTTCACGTTCGCCGCCGCCGAGTCAGTTATAAATCCAGCAAATTCCTGGAAGAACTGGGTGATCATCTGCCATCGAAAAAATATCATCATTTTATTCTCGACATAAATCTTGAATTCTCTGGAGAATCTCTGGACACATTCTTTCAGAAAACGACGGCAACGTTTCAAACCTTTGCAATCCCAGCAGTGGATTACATCTCGGATCAATGTTTGGACGTCTTTATAAAATACGCGGAAAGTCATAAGATAAAAGAGCTTGATATCGGAAAGGCTAGACTCACCTCTAAAGAGGCATTGGAAGAAGCGAAAAAAGTCATCCCAAAGATTCATCGTAATCCAGCCTACGTTTTGGATTTTATTATTGTAGAAGACGATATATGGGATGAAATTTTCAGTATGTTCTAGATACTGTATATGATATGCCTTGCATGCAATTCATGCAATATTCCATTAGATTTAAAAAGCTGTTAAATTAATTGTATTTTATTGTTTATTAATATTCGTGCTTTAGTTGAGAGACATACACACAGCGTACTGTTTTACTAGCGCTAGAAATTCAATGATGTAAACCAAGGGTTGTTTATTATTTAATATTTTACATGCCGAATGAATATCGGCAATTTAAAAAGCAAAAATCAAAAAAATATCCAAAAATATAATCAACCGAACGGCACGAAAACAGCAGAGTCAATAGAAAATTCGCGCAATTCTTCGGCTTTTGGAAGTCTTTCTTCGTCACAATCATCGCCCGAAGCCTATAATTATAAAAAGTAATTCAGCGCAAGATTGCACGCGTCAAAATTTATAATAAATTAAAATTTATACACAAAGCTTCGCCCAGTGATCGATCATGATCTTGGTTAAAACTAAATGATGTGTTTCATCAAATATGAAGCAACCAGCTGGATGATAATGACATTTTCCTACGTGCAGCGAATTAATGGTTGCACGGCTTGAGAGGAATCGATCCTTGAAATTTGAAGTTGGCATCATCCCCGTGTTTAACAACTAGATCATATTAGACAATATTGTCAATAATTTTTAAAGATATCGAAAAATTTAGAATACAATTAAATTGCCTTGTTGAATGATCCTGGTTTGAAAAGATTGATTTGTTTTTTCAACACATTTTTCCCCTTAATTTTTTTGGTTTTTTGACCTTTAATTTGAGCAATAATATCCATTATTATCTTAAAATACCTCGCCAGCAAATTGAATGCAAACTCAAATTACCAGAAACTTCTTTAAATCCTAACATAACAATAATAATGATAATAGTAATAAAAAAGAAAATTGTCAGTTGTTTAATCTATATATTATACAAAACAATATATTCAACTTACTTGTTTTAGAAGAAGACGAAGTCTCAAAATTTTTAAAACTCCGTTTTAATGGAACTTTTCCTTTAGCTTATTGTTTATTTTTCAAAATAAATATAAGAATTTTGCTATGGTTTTCTCGAATTTCTTTTTAAGAAAATGTAAAGCTTAATACCGGAAAGGTCTTTTACGGCATTGGCTATTGTCTGCATATTTGAGGAGCAATTAAATGCTGGTGGTGCACTTTCTGCTTCTATTAATTAAAAATCATGAAATTTCAATCTCATGGTTTAAGATGAATTACAAAAATATTGTGATCTTTATCACCTTTTTCTTTACTTTTTCCTTTACTGCTATCTTCGATATAAGTAATGGACAACTTATCGAAATCGGTGGCATCGTCATCATCACCTATTTAGAAGTCAAATAACTTAGAAATCAATTGGAAAATGTAAACAATAGAAAAATCATACTGACTTGGAATAACAATTGGATCCTCCTCTTCTACAGATGTTTCACTATCTTCAATTACAATTAATTCACTCGTTTCTTTTGTTTTTAGAGTATCATTACGTTTTTTGCTGTTGCTATCGTTGTTGTCGACATGCTTTTTGTTGCTGCTTCTTTCTTCATTCATATCATTATTATCAATATCAACTGATGTAAAAATAGAAAGCTTTTTTGTTAACAATATATATATATATATATAAAATACAAAAGTGTATCAAAGTCTTTTACCATTTGACTTCGCGCCTCTCACGGAATTTGGCAACATATCTATTTCATACTTATATAGAAAATCACAGTACCATTTAATACTCGTTTCACTACAAGTTTTTCCTTTATATTCCATAAATTTCTTTATATTTTTATTGGAAATTGGAAATATGGATTGATCTGAATTTTTCCAATTATGTTCTTCCGCAAGTTTCTTGTATCCGTTGACAACTTGCATCATACGCTCAAAATTGTTACTCATTTTACAATAATAATTTATGTAAAGCTTGCGAAAGCTTAAAGACAATCCTTGCTGAATAAATCCGTTATTTACTCTAAAATTTAGAATTTTGCGTTTCATAAAGTGATGTTTTAAATCATTTATACGTGTTATATCTGATGTAATATAATTTATTGGAGCTATACCTCATAACACGCAAGTTTGTGATATTTTATTTACGAAGCATAAAATAATCGAACAGAATATAGTGATGAGAGTTATGGTTGCCCAATAATGAAACAATAAGTGGAAGGAATTTATCAAACTTTGACCACCTATATAAATTCAGAGTTTATTTATTAAGCTCAGAAAGATATTCTAGTTCTAGTACATGTCACTCGTTTTCAAGATAATAAGTGCTGTTGAGAATAGTCAAATTTTATGAAGCTAATAATATTAAATATCATATCTTTTTAAATGAAATACTTGTCAATGTTGAATATCTTACAATGGAGGAGGTTTGAACAATTTATAAAACATCCTGTCGAACAGCGGTATCATGAAGAGAATGAATTTTTAAATCTTGCATTTAATAAATAGGCATTTTGAAATCTTATCATAATTCACAAGGTATGTATACATGTACACTCACTGGACAAAAGTTTGGAATCGGGGGTGATCGACATAAATAAAGGGGTGAGTTGCATCGTTAT